TCCCAAGGCTAGCAAATCCATTATGTTGATAATGCAATGCACTAAGTTAGTATTATATTTGTCTTTTTAGCCAAAATGATTTTTGAGATTAGAATAATTCTCCACTTCATATTTGATGATGAAAATTGATAGAAGTAGTTCATGAGTTTGTTCATCATAAATCATTTCGGTTATTTCATGATAAACCTGCTAATATCCTCATTAAGTGGAGTGGTTGGTTTGACAAAAATAATCTTTAAAAGGTGATCACTTGGTCGTTCACGTGATAATTTAACGAGAATTTTGACAGATTTTTCATAGAATGACAAAATGATTTACATTGAATGAACGCAAAGGACTACTTCTACCGATTTTCATTATCAGAGACCAATGTAAAAATTATGCGAATCTTTGAAACCCTTTCGGATAAAAAGCCTTATATTTTTGCAACTTGCATGTGTAGGGATTCACACATCTATTTATCGGAGGGTAATTACCTAGCTAGGATTTTCTCTGAAACTAGCAGAGTCAGTGTTCCACTGTCTCATACATATTTTTATTTTCTCTGCAGTATATAGCGACATGGAAATGATCTGATTAGAACTGTTCAAGCATGCAAGAGCAAAGACAGATCCATTAGGAGGGTCAGGATCGATCATCAATTTTTTAGGGTTTGTTTTTTCTGTAGTTTTGAGAAGAACTGAAGATTCTATGTAGTCAGATTACTTATAGTTTTGTCTCCCCAAAGGCCGATGCTTATATGCTTTATGCAGTGAGATTGAGCTTTCCCTACTTCCTTTATAACTTTGTCATTTTCTAAATTAAAAAACAACCAAAGAATCTCAGTCTTGTGAGATATTTGAGTATGTTCTAGCGTCTCAAAACAAAAACCAAATAGTATAGAGGACCCAAATTGTAATGTAATAATGAAATAATGCTTCTTACTTTATCATATATTGACCTGGATTCGTTTATTTGAACATTAAGGTCTGGATTTCGTTTGCATATGTTTTCGGTCACTTGGCTCGCTCTCGGCCATTGACTGGTGAACATGTAGGTTATATATTTCATTGCGCTTGTCGCACCTTTCTTCACCAGACTCTTCCATATCAACTTTTTTTTATCACATCCTCAACAAAGTTGCTTCTCATGAGATAGAAAAAACCCTACCGCTTAAACTTTAGATTTCAATTCTTAATTTTTGAGCAAAAAATTAACATGTAATGGGCGATTTAGAATGACAAAATAATACTTGGGATTGATCAAAATGGCAATTGGATCACAAGTGGACATCCGAACGCACGAAAGACCGAAAAATCACGCATCTATTGCATCGCACCATGCATGGTCGAACTTTGTAAAAATTTATGGTTAGGGTTGTGGTTACGATCAATCTTGGTAGGATAGTGTTATCTACACTCATTTTTTTCACACAATTCTTTCAATTTCCTACCATTGAGTTAAACGAATTGAAAAATATCAATAAAAAAAAATTAACAGAAGTGTATGACAAGTAAAAATAAATATGTGAAGATTACAATACTTTTGATATATGTAGAGAAGGGAAATGATAAGTTGGGTTTACATTACCCTGCCGTATGATAAAGCACGCACCTTTCTCATTGAATCATTACTATTGATTATTCTCAAACGGCTTAATACAGTTCTCTCCTACTCAAATATTGCAAACATAAAACATGCACAATCACAAATGCACGCGCACCCACAGATTCCACTAGTTGCGCGCAAGCCATTATATCCAATTATGCTGTTTTATTACACCATCTTTAAGCAAGGTTCTATAAGACTCTAGGTATTTGTCGAGTGGCAAACTGAGACTTAGTGTCTAGGCATAATAGGTAGATTTGAGTAAATTTATTATATATCTTAACTAAGTGTCTGTTTATACTTAAAAATATATAGTTGTATTGAGATACATAAATTGAAAAATAGAATAACTTATAGATTCGAAAGTATTAGAACATATTGATAATATGGGGAATCATAATATAATGTGTGTTCATCAAAGTTTTTAACAAGTCTCTTACAATTTATTAAAAAAATAAAATGCAAAAGGAGCGCTATTAATTTTTTGTCTGAGTGATAGTTGCGACCTAAGTGGGTCTAAGCGGGCTAGGCGAGCACTTAGACTGAGATTGGCTAGGCGAGCGCTTAGACGGGCTAGACGGACGTCTAAGCAGGTCTAGACACCATTTCTTAATTTTCAAACCTTTAAAGATTAATCGAAGTGGTGGTCAGCCGCTTAGCGCCTAGGCAATGTTAGGCAGAAGTTTTTTGAACAATGCCTTGTAAGAGAGTCTAAAACTTGAATTTGAAATGTTATGTAATATTTTTTGTGCTACAACAAAATTGTTAAATGCATTTTTAGATTTAGAAAATATCCGACAATCTCTAGATTTAGAGAGTCCCTAATCCCTATCCCACTCGTCAAACACTTTTTTTTTTCGATTATTAACAGATGTGCTTGGAAAGGTTTATAAAAATGAAACACTCAAAAAAGGTCAGATGGTGAGAGGTTATTCTAATTCATTTTTTAAAACAAACCACATGCCTCTTATTTGATAAACGCAGTTTGGATTGCTAGAGATCGACTGAATACTCTTCATGTTTGCTTGTTGTTTTATTCTTCTTAGTTAGATGCGTCGAGTATTGTGGCGGTGCGACTTCAGCTCATGTTGGTATAGTTTCATGATTGAGGCTTATGGTTTAGACAAAAGCCTTGGTTGTTTTCAGTTTTGTGGACTCGAATAATATGTTGTAATCGATTTTGGTTACGTGAGTTTCTTGATTGTTTCCGTCGCTTTTGTCCGTTTTAGTTTTTTCTTTTCAATGTGAAGCATGGCGCATGTTAACCACTTTATTATTTTTACGTCTATATTGATATTCATGTCTCGTGTGCTTCATTGATTAAGATTGAACAAGTCATAGTGCTTCCGGTGCTTACCTCATTTAATGATAGAGTCCAAGTCTTGTTAAATAAAGAGATGTCACGGTGCACATTTAATTGAGGAAAATTGAAAAGGGCAAAAGGTATGCTCATGATTACAAAGGGAAAATGGTTGCAAAGCGACAATGTCATTGAGTTCTCCTTTACCCCACACGCATACGCACACAACATACAAATCAGACGCTTTTGATTTCCCCCATTTTTTTATCTTGTTTTTGGCTTTTTTTTTTTTTTTTTTTTTTTTTTTTTGTAAAAACACACACATATATATATAGTATATATAGTTTGTCTGATCATCCACTTTAAACGAACCAAAAGAATCCTCGTCAGATTTTCTTTTGCAAGGATTCTGAGAATCCTCTACTTACATCTTTTTATTGTATATTATGTGATCAGAAATAGTTGTAAATTTTTTATTTAAAATTGAATATAAACAATACTTGATAAAAACTGATCATACGATGTACGATGAACGAATATGATTGAAGAATCCTCAAGATCCTCACAAAGAGGATCCGTCTCACTTAAACAAAGCCTCCATCTTGGACCCAACATGCCTGCCTGCCTCCCTCCTTCCTTTTACTTCATTCACATTTTTGCTCCACATAATCATGGATTATTATACGAACATAATTACATATATTCTGAAAATATATGCATGATCAATATCTCCATTTGTGCCGCTAATCACTCCACATGGCATCTTTCCGACCGAAAGATCTCGAACCAACGGTCCACTACTCGTTTTACTTTTATTTTCGTGCATGTCGTAAATAAATTTTTGTAAAGATTTATGTCTCTGTGGTCTCTAAAATTGCCATGGAAAGAAGTATATGATTAGACAAATTTTATTGTGAAGGAATCCCAAGACACGAGGGCAATTTCTAGGCATACGTATATGATAAAGGTGAAGAGGGTTTTGAAAGTGAGACTCTTTGTGGATTTTATGTCATTTTATATAATGTTAATTTTTGTGATAACGTTATAAAATATTATACCAAAATATAATGTGACAAATAGTTCGTAAAGAATTTCACTTTTGAAAGAGTTTCTTTAGCATTTCTCTACATACACAGTACACTACCACCCATTCTCTTTGGAATTTACAAAAAATCCAAAGAGAAGTGTATAGGAGAGTAAAAAAAAACTAACTTGTAGTATATTTTATTATATAAATTGCAAGAAAATCATCACTTTTCCCCCTTCAAAGGGTTAGGGGATGTGGATAAAGAAGAAAAGAAGGTCTTTGCATTTTTACCCTTTGTCTTTTTTAGTGGTAAAAGTAGAGAGAGGCTGAGGAATTGTGATTGGATGGAAAGGATGTGCTAAAAGAGTTCAAACAGGACAGATCCCCAATTTTCCACATTTCTTTTACGGATAGAACAATGTAGATCATGTGTAACACACATTTCTTCAAGTCTTTAAATTAATTTGTTAAATTGGGCTATAAGGGGCCTGATACATGATTTTGGAGGCTGGGCTTTCATTGTTCCAAACTTCCGAGGCTCCAAGCTTAAGAATTTTGTTGATACTTTGATGATATGTTTACTTACCCGGAATGGTACTGGATATATTCTATTGCTCGACCTCTCATATGTCCTACGTTACAATTCGTCATCCAATATCTAAAGTTCTAAACAACTAGGAATTAGATTGAATGAGGGACGCTAGTTGATTTCATAACCATCCCCTCTCTCCTGTATACTGACTTCTCCAATTAATCACTTTCCTCATTTCCAAGTAAGCAAATATAAACAAATTTATGGCGACGCGAAAAAACAGACCTACGTATTTGAGTAAAAAAAATAAGTATGTAAATGATTATTTGGTATAATCGCACGCAATCTCTGCTCAACATAGATGTTGAAAGAGGTCTTGAGTTCAAACTAATTGTTGCCGCAAAGTCTCCAAGGTTTAGCCCAAAAAGTATTAACCCAAAAATGTAGATCCACAAAATTGGGCCACTCGGCCTCAGTATTTGTGCCCTCGGCCCATTACCCGACCCATTAAATCCGTTTACTTGATTGTTCTCTCTCCCGCTTCTCATCCATTTCAGCCGCTCGAAAATTTATGGGCGGACCGAAAGCACACCCATAACATGCCGTAACAATGAGACACAGCAACCACACAAATTTGCAACTCTGCCACTGCCATGGTCGACTTCCCCAAATCTCTCTCTCCGAAGCGAGTCCTGAAGCTCCTCAAAGCCGAGAAGAACCCTCATTCCGCACTCGCCCTGCTCGACTCAGCGACCCGCCACCCGAACTACAACCACTCCTCCGACGTCTTCCACCACATCCTCCGCCGGCTCGTCGACCCGAAGCTCGTTGTCCACGTCGAGCGGGTCGTCGAGCTGATTCGGACCCAGAAATGCAAGTGCCCCGAGGACGTGGCATTGACGGTGATCAAAGCGTATACGAAATACTCCATGCCCGATAAAGCGTTGGCCGTGTTTCAGCAAATGGAAGAGATTTTTGGGTGTGCGCCCGGCGTAAGGTCGTACAATTCGCTGCTGAATGCGTTCATTGAGTCTAACCAATGGGACCGAGCTGAGAAATTTTTTGCTTATTTCGAAACGGTGGGTTTGGAGCCAAATTTGCAGACTTATAATGTTCTGATCAAGATTTCGGGCAAGAAGAAGCAGTTTGAGAAGGCTAAAGGGTTGCTGAATTGGATGTGGGAAAAGGGTTTGGAGCCTGATGTGTTTAGTTATGGGACTTTGATCAACGGGCTTGCGAAAGGTGGGAACTTGAGTGATGCATTGGAGGTGTTTGATGAAATGCTTGAGAGAGGGGTTGGTCCTGATGTGATGTGTTATAATATTTTGATTGATGGGTTTTTCCGGAAAGGCGATAGTGTGAGTGCTAATGAGATTTGGGAGAGGTTGGTGAAGGACTCAGAGGTTTATCCTAATATTGTTACTTATAATGTTATGATCAATGGTTTGTGTAAATGTGGGAAGTTCAATGAGAGTTTAGAGATATGGAATAGGATGAAGACAAATGATCGAGGACCTGACTTGTATACTTGTAGTTCTTTGATTCATGGGTTGTGCAAAGCAGGGAATGTGGATGGGGCTGAGAGAGTTTATAAAGAGATGGTTGATAAAGGGGTAGTTCCGGATGTGGTTGTCTATAATGCAATGCTCAATGGGTTCTGTCGGGCAGGGAAGACTAAAGAGTGCTTTGAGTTGTGGGACGTGATGGAGAAGTGTGGTTGTCGTAATGTTGTGAGTTATAACACATTGATTAGAGGGTTGTTTGAAAACGAGAATGTTGATGAAGCAATTTCTGTCTGGGGACTAATGCGTGATAAGGCTTGTGTTGCAGATGCCACAACCTATGGAGTGTTAATCCATGGACTGTGTAAAAATGGGTATTTAAACAAGGCTTTGCAGATTTTAAAAGAGGCAGAAAACACAGGAGCTGATCTGGATGCCTTTGCGTATTCGTCAATGATTAATGGGTTATGCAAGGAAGGGATACTAGATGAAGCAGCCAGGCTAGTAGGTAAGATGGATAAGTGTGGCTATGAACCAAATTCTCATGTTTGCAATGCATTGATATACGGGTATATCCAAGCTTCCAAACTTGAAGATGCCATTTTGTTTTTTAGAGGAATGTGCACTAAGTTTTGCTCTCCAAATGTTATCTCCTACAATACTCTCATAAATGGTTTATGCAAGGCAGAAAGATTTAGTGACGCATATGTGTTTGTGAGGGAAATGCTGGAAAAAGGATGGAAGCCGGATGTGATCACATATAGCTTGTTAATGGATGGCCTTTGTCAAGGCAAAAAGATTGACATGGCCCTCAACGTGTGGCATCAAGCCCTTGACAAGGGTTTCGAGCCTGATGTAACTATGCATAACATTATAATTCATGGTCTTTGCTCTGCAGGCAAGGCTGAAGATGCTTTGCAGCTTTATTTTCAGATGGGGCGTTGGAACTGCGTTCCAAATCTTGTAACCTACAACACCCTAATGGAGGGTTTTTACAAAATTACAGACTGTGAAAAGGCATCAGAAATTTGGGCCCGCCTTCTAAAAGACGGACTACAACCAGATATCATCACCTATAATGTTACTCTCAAAGGGTTTTGTTCATGCAGTAGAATATCAGATGCCATTAGGTTTTTAGAAAAGGCTTTACATCTTGGAATTCTTCCAACTTCCATTACGTGGTACATACTTGTTAGGGCAGTGCTCAACAATGGGACCACTTCAAACTCTTCTTGGGTATAAATTAGCGCGGAAGCAAGTTTTATCTCCTGTTGCTTTTCTTTGATGTCAACACATTCGTTGTTTCATCTGGGATCACATGATGAGACCTCCATAGTTTCCTTTTGTTCTCTTGTCATATTTTGTTAGCACTGGGATACTTTAAAATTCCACGTGTCATGAGAAAAGGTCTGTGGAAATATGTCGCTGGGCTAGTCGGTAGGTGCTTGGGATACTACTGATGAGGAATCTGTACAGCAATATTATTCTTCATGAAGAACGTCCTTTTCTTCTGAAAGTGACATAAGGTATGAATGATCTGTTTTTTGCCTACATTTGTTTGTTGGGTGTGTTGCATTCTCAGTGCAAAATCTGCCTACTGCAGGTTAAATGCCAATTTTATTGAATCCTGGAAAAGACTAGTTGGCAGAAGAATGAGTTTCTAGAATTCAGATCCAAAATCTTGCTTACCAGGTTTAGTATCAATTGCCATTCAGTTATCAATTCTGGGTTGTATTGCACATAGTGGGTTTTATTTAGAACATATAGAACGTCGAAGACATTACTTATAAATTTAAAATCTTGAGTCCTGTCTTAGCATGAATTATAATAATTAAAAGCTCATGAAGCATCATATATGGTATTGAGTGCCATAGGTTTTGGTGATTGCAGTAATATCACCAAGATCACCTTTTGATGATGCAAAAGCAAAGTGGCTTGATGTATCAAACCCAAGGTGTGAGATTTACTTGGGGTTATTAATCATGCTATATTTATAATAGTGCAGAGCTCCTGATGCAGGTTGGATGCCATCTTTAAAGTCATTATTTGGCACACGTGTGGCTTTCGCGGAATTTGTATCATTAACCTTCCTCACCAGATTCAATTTCTGCGGCTACTGCTTTCAGGTCAACATGCATTTTGTTGTACACTAGTGAGTATAGAACATTTAGAAGGTCATATATACACTAGTGGATTCATAAAGCATCGTATATGTAACTTGGTTACATAGTTTTTGGTGATTACAGTAGTATCACCAAGATCACCTTTTGATGATGCAAAATTAAAGGCTTGATGTATCAAACCCAAGTTGTAAGATTTACTTGGGTTTATTGATCATGCTATATTTGTGTAGCGGAGCAGTAGTGCATCGTTTCCATTCGTCTTTTTGGGCAGTTAAATTCTAGAAATGTCTGTATTAGAGTTTCTCATATTTTCGAGATATTCTACAGTTTTAAGTTTTAATTGGATAACGTAAAAGAGTTATGGCTAAAATTTTTACAATTGAGTTGATGAGGAAAAAACATGTATTATCTGTGTAGACCCAAGCTATGTTCAGTAAAATAGTTGAGGCCGAAAATTTTACAGCATAATATTTTTACCTTCTTTCTCCCTGTGTCTTCCCTTCTTCTGTATTTTCCGTTTCTGATAACATTTTCTGCTCATAGATGACCTGAGAAACCAAACCCACAAAAATTGCCCCGAGAAATGCAACTTTTCTCCAATCAGGTGTTGAAGTGATGAAAGAGTCGACAAGTTGTACGAGTAGCAGACCAATTACAGCAAGGTAAATGTTCCTCCTGGTTTCTGATCCTGCACTTTTTTTGGTAAGCTTCTTGATTTTATTTATTTCCTCGGTAGCATCTTTTTTTTTTTTTTTTTTTTTTTTTTTTTTTTTCAGCTTGCCCTGCGTCAAATTCTTAAAAAATAACCCTTCATTTCGCTCTTTTTCAATCTGACCTTTGAATGCTTCTAACTCGTTTTCGTTTTTCTCCATCTCCTTTATGTTTACTCCTGCAGATTCCTCAAGGGCCTGCATGCGGCTGTTTATATTCTCCAATATCTGCTAATCACAAACGATTAAGAATTTAATCCAAGTTATCCAACAGAAGTGTATAGCAAGTCGCGTTTTTTTTATCTTTTATGCGGTGCATGGAGCAGGAACTTAAAAACAGACCCTGTCGCTGGCTTCATCCAGGTCTTTGAGAGCATCTTCTCCAATCTTGTCAAACTTGGCGTTTGCCTCTTCTCCAAATTTGGTAAGATACTCTGACCTTTCATCCAAGTAATCAGCAAGACGGACCTTCTGAGCTTGAAGCATTGTTATCCTCACCAGCAGCTCTTGCTTGTGAGTGTCGCCTTTGGGAGGGGAAGCATCTGACTCCGAATCAGAATCATTGGACTTGCTGAATCGCAAGATGGAATTCTTGGCGTTGGACAATCGTCCTGTGTGTAAATTGGCATGTTTGATGGGGGTGAAGGAGGTTTGAATGAGCTTGAGGCCAATCATCTTACCCGTTTTCAGTGCGGGCTTTAAGTTTGGATGAAGGGGGGAGAGAGAGAGAGAGAGAGAGATTTGTATGTCGACAGTTAAAACTGTTGAGAGTGCTCTTTAGCCTCTCATCTGGCGTTGCATTTTCCATTACTCTAAAAAGTGTTTCTTATACTAAAAAGTTCTTGTTAGAGAGGGGGGATTTATCACCTAATTGTTCCTCTCGTTCTATTTCTGTACCAACAATTGACAACTGATGACTTGCATACTTACCTGGAATGAGTATTTGAATCGTTATAACGACTAAATTTTTTATGTTTACTAACACAAGGGTATTAGAATTATTTTCATTCGTGTCTTTCCTGTGTTTACTCACACAAAGGTATTATGATTCTTTAGTATTCTTGATCCCTCATGTGTTTATACGGAATAAAAAATATGTAGTTCACACATATTACAATCGACAATACAATGCCTGGAAATTAGGAATTAGGTTGCTTATACGGAGTTGTTATCTCATTCTTATACCTTTTGTTTTCTACGTTTTTTATTCATGACTTTTTTTCGTCCAAAGTAAGCAAACATGCCACAAAAAAAATGCAGGATTCGACCAATCATTTTCTTTTGGTCTTTTAGCTAAAATGGTCTTTGAGATTGAAATAACTTCTCATTTTAGTCCATGAGATTTAAAATCGATAGAATTGGTTCCTGAGTTTGTCCACTGTCAATAATTTTGGTTATTCTGAGAAAAATCTTCGTTAAATAAGAATAAAATGATAAAAATACCTCAATTGACAAAAAATTGAGGGCATTTTTGTCATTTTAGTCTTTATTTAACATGGGTTGTTCACGGAAGGACCAAAATAATTGATTGTAGAATTCAGAGACCACTTTCTATCGATTTCAAATCTCAGAGATCAAAGTAAAGAGTTATTCCAATTTCAATGACCATTTTAGCTAAAATATCTTTTTTCTTTTTTACTTCACTACTCTTAACTTAAATAAGTGAATGGGCGATGAATAAAAATGCAGGGTTCAACCAATTATATGAACCTACGAATGATTAATTGCAATAAAGTCAACAAAATGCTATGAAAAATTCACAAACACACATTAAATCAATCTTGAAATCAACGCAGAAATCCTCCAACAAATATTTTCAAACACCAACATTAAAATCAAATAAAAAAAAAACTGAAATGGCAGACAGCCAGAAGATTAACAAGTGCCACTCCACCACCCTGCATATCATTTAGCACACCCAGTCACCTTCTTGTAAGTGTACCACTTAGCAATCCAGAGGTACACCAAGAAATTAATAACGCTCAGAATAGCCAACAGCCAATAAAAATAGTCCAGGTGTCCCCTGTTAAGGTTATCCGGAATCCACCCAAGATTCCCATTCTTCGTGGTAACTTTAGTTACCACAGTAACTAGCAGAGTGCTGAGGTAATTCCCCAGTGCAACAGTGGTCAGTGACAGTGCAGAGCACAAGCTTCTCATGGCGTCAGGCGCCTGGTCGTAAAAAAACTCCATCTGCCCGATGAAGGTGAAAACCTCAGCACACCCAATGATGAAATACTGCGGGACCTGCCAGAAAATCGACATGGGAATGTACTCTAGGTCGTAGTAATTATATTTTTTTACAGTGGCAAGCCTAACGACCTCCAAAACCCCAGCAACAACCATGGAGAATATGGAGAGTGCTAGGCCGATTCCCATCCGTTGAAGCGTCGTGAAGCCTCGTTCGTGGCCCGTGAAGTGCCTGGCGAGGGGGACGATGAGCCTGTCGTATATCGGAGCCCAGAAGATGACGCTGACAGTGTCGAAGAGGGAGAGGGAGGCTGATGGGATTTTGAAGTTTGGGCCCATGTGTTGGTCTAGGGTGTTGCCTTGGAGGACAAACATTGTGCTCATTTGGCCGTAGACGGTGGCGAAAACTATACCGGACGCCCAGATGGGGAGGAGTCTGATGATGGATTTCAGCTCCTCTACTTGTGTCACTGTGCAGAGGCTCCATGGGCTTGGCAATTCCTTGGCACGGTTTGTCTCTGACTCCACAGCTGCCTTGTCAAAGAACCTGAAATTTGAAAAATATTATTATACAGAAATTCTCTTTACATGATGTTCGTAAAAAAAGAAAAATATTAGTTATATTGTTGAGAACACATCAATAAAAATACATTGAAATGTTTATTAACAATCAAAGTGTCCTTGAACTTGAAAGTGTTTTTACGAAGAAGCACATGGTAAGTGCTTCTCAAGAAAGCACTTCTATGACTCAGAAATACTGTTAAGTATTTATACAAAACGTAGTCAGAAGCGCTTTGGTTGTCCGCAAACACTTTTAGCCTTTCTAGGTGAGGTCCCAAACAAGAGATTTAAATATGCTTTTAAAACGGTTAAGAACGCTTTCAGATAGCCCTAAATATTTTTGAGAATGTTGGACATGAGATTAAAATTGTTGCTGCTAGCTAGGTTATAAAAACTGTGCTTGTTCAAGAAGAGAAGCATTCAAGATGCTTGTGAAAAGTTTCGACGTGCTTTTAGAAAAATCGCTTAAAATGAGCAAAGTGTTTCCCATTGAAATTCTAGCTGTGTGCTAGCTTCTTGCCCTAATTTGTTGGTGTGCTCAAGCTTCCGGCTTCCTTGGATGTTGCACTCCTCATCTGCAGTCTCATAGAGAAGAGACTTGTCAGCAGGAACCTTCACTTTGCACTTCCTGATGGATGCAGCAACCACCTGAGCAATCCTTGTGAGGGGACTCCCGCCTGGTTTCTGAAGACGATATAACTTGCTTCCCAAGAAAAAGAACGCAACTGCAATCCCCATTGCGACTGCTGGGACTCCGAACCCCCAATTCCATCCCACATTCATTTGCATCCAGACCAAAACTGTGGAAGCAATAAGTGCACCGACATTGATTGACATGTAAAACCAGTTGAAGAAGGAGCTCTTCTTTTTCCTCTCAGTCTCGTCAGTTTCATCAAATTGATCTGCGCCGAAGGATGAAACGCATGGCTTGATTCCACCAGTACCTACTGCAATCAAGTACAGAGCTACAAAGCAGGCCGCTCTTTGGGACGATGTTGTGTTGCAACCAGAGCTATCGCAATGTGGTTTTATTCCGTTGATAGATGCAGTGAGGGTCAAGAGTGTCATACCCTGGAATAAAAACAAAAGTTCTTCAATATATAGCCTCTTGAAGAACACAATTTATATTTGGACCAAACTTACAAGAACATAAACGATTGAAAAGATGGCAATTGTCCAATATCTTCCCAAGTATGCATCAGCTAGGAAGGCTCCTATCAATGGTGTCGCGTAGCACGTCCCTGACCAATTAGAGACGCTCGTTGCTGCCGTGACATTTCCCATGCCGAGACGTTTCTCGAGATAGTTCACTAGATTGGTACTCATTCCATAGTATGCCAATCTTTCGCAGCACTCATTTCCTGCAACAGGATTATTTAGTGATCAACATGAGGGCGCCATAAAACACCATGAACAAATCAAAATCAAAAATCAAATTCATAACCAATAAAACCGTACCGAGAATAAAGCGGCATGCCTTCCAATTTCCGGTCTTCTTCTTGTTAGCAGGTTTTTTATGGATGTCCAGAGTCCCATCGTTCGTGTAAAGATCATCGTCCGCCATAGCTGCAGATTAGCAATCTTTCGAGTTCCAGGCCTTTTTTTCTTGGTATTTAAAACCAAAGACTCACCTACAAAATCACCATCATCATCACACACAGGCTGAGATAAGAGATAAGAGAGTAATCATGAAAATTTTGAAAGTGAAAGCATTGCCTTGGAATATATATTCTCTTTAGGAATTCTGTGGCCAAGTAAATTCTAGATTCTCAAAATATGAAATTAGGAACTTCACCAAACACTTGGACATGTAACAGGTCACACGTATGGTACCAACCTTACCAACCATCTATATATCTATGTTTTCGAACATCGTTAGATAATTATCAAATAAAAATGTCATCATACAACACATGAGAAGTACTTCTTACAGTAGCAGTCTCGTAACAGGACTATAATTTTTGTTACTTCCTTAAGAAAAAGGAGTTTAAAATCCTATTGAAGGATGATTGTAGAGATAGAAACCCAAACTAGCTAATTAGGTTTCTTTACATCTCAACAGAATTGAAGGGAATGTATCTAATATTATCTACTAGAGCCTCTACAATCATCATAGAATCCACAACCCACATTTTAATTAATCGAAATTCCATGAACACAAATAAGCAAAAGTTGAGTGAAGCCTAAGCAATATGTGATCATTTGGAGAGTCAGACTCCATCTTTTTAGAACTAGGGATTTTTCAATATGAAAAGGTAACCTTCACAATCCAATATCATATGAAAAGGAAAACCCAAGAAAAGTACAGTATAACTGTGTGCAAGAGCAACAAAAAAAAAAAAAAAAGTTGAAGAATTAGAAATCATAAAGAGACTTGAGACGCTTGTTGCTCACTTCGCTAAAGAGCATTTGCACTCGAGGTCTCGAGTTCGATTGCCCAGCCCCTTTCTTTAGATCGCTTGAGAGGAAAAACCTACCATTCTCTAGTCTAAAGATATATGCATCTTTGACATGAATGACTACAGGGGAAGAAAGTGCAGACAAATCACATACCTTCAAAAGAGCGAAAAAGAGTAGATTTTTTATGTGGTTGTGAATGGTGATTAGGGATACTGACTTTTAAGTTTTAATAGCCGTTGATCAGTGTATTGCACACGCCTTCATCAATGGCTAGCGTCGGTACAACTGTGATTGGGATGGCTTTCTTACGATAATAGATGGGTAAAGAGGTTTCATTAGAAAGGGAATTTTGTTCTGGTTTACCATAAGAACTTGAAATTAATGGTTTTTTGTAATCCTTAAGTTATTGTCATTTTATGTTAACTTCGTACCTGGACTCTTTACTGGAGCTATCAATTGAAACCCCCATTTTCTTACCAAAATATGAAAAACAAAGAGTCCCATTTTTACAGCACAGTCCTACTCTAGTTGAAATCCGATCGACGGTCAAGATATTCTAGTCATGTGAAAGTATCACATATATAAAATTGACTGGAGAAGGCATGCCACATTGCCATGCCCTCGACAGCTTTACTTTGTTTACAAACTTTCCAAATGGATATATAAGAAAGAAAGAAAAAAAAAAAAAAATCTAAAACGGAAGGTGTAACAAGAGAGATTATTTTGTGTGACAGCCATGTGCAGAGTGTTGCTGATTCACTAAATTGCAATATTTGTTTGATCATTAATTAGTACACAACAAGTTCTAAGCTATATAAACTTAACGTTGCAGCATATTATGAACTACGTGGACTCATAACACCATCATCAATATTTGTTACTTGGTGCCACCAAGGGCGGAACCACTCTTAAACTATGGCGGGCTCTACATCGGATGCAAGTTTTTGCACAAATTGAAACTATATGCTTAATTATTTAGGAAGTCCACCACATTTAGCTAAAATTAGCACTTTCTACTCTAGAAAAAGAGGCCCACCTCCCAGTAACTCGTAAGACAATACTAATTAAGCACCCACGCATAATAGATGAAGAAAACAAAAAATATACCCACCACTGAGAAAATTCATGGTTCCGCCATTGGGCACTATTTGCTACCATCATACAATAATATTTTCGTAATACATTGCAAGTCAAGAATGTTAGGCTTCATATTTTGTTTAAGGTGGGTAGGTCATGTTTGATCTTATTAGTTTTGGATCAAGATCACTACCAAAATGGATCCTTGCTACATAAACTTGATGCCTCAACAATGCAGAATAATACTAGTCACTGCTCAATGACTAGGTACTACTGCCCTCTTGTAAGTGTACCATCTAGCAACCAAAAGATAAAACCCTAAATTCACCACACTCAACAAAGCCAGAAGCCAGAAGAAGTAGTGAAGGTGCCCATAATTCAAGTTGTCCGGAATCCATCCCGGCTTCCCATCCTTAGTGCTTACATCGGTCACAATGTTCACCAGCATTGTACTCAAATAGTTCCCCAAAGCAGCAGTTGTAAGTGAAAGAGCAGAACACAAACTCCTCATTGCATCAGGAGCCTGCTCATAGAAAAACTCCAGTTGCCCAATAAATGTGAAAACCTCAGCACACCCTATAATAAAATACTGAGGAACTTGCCAAAAAATCGACATGGGTATATGCTTTAGGTCATAGTAGTTGTGTTTTCGAACTTCCCGAAGTCTCACAAGCTCCAAAGCCCCCGCGGCCAGCATGGCAAAGATGGAGATTACTAGCCCAACTGCTATTCTTTGGAGTTGGGTGAAGCCGCTGTTTCTGCCCGTGAATCTTCGCACAAACGGGACTATCACACGGTCGTAAACTGGAACCCAGAAGATGACACTGACGGTGTCAAAGAGGGAGAGCGAGGCGGATGGGATTTCGAAGGATTTGCTGACATGGAGGTCCATTGTGTTGCCTTGGAGCACAAACAATGTTCCCATTTGACTGTAGACGGCTGAGAAGATTATACCAGTGGCCCATATGGGAAGCAACCTTATGAGGGACTTAAGCTCTTCCACTTGTGTCACACTGCAGAGCCTCCATGGCATCGCTGAGCCTTTGACTTTATCTGACTGTGTCTCTACAGCCGCCCTGTCCAAGAAACTACAAAGTTCGTAATTGAAAAAGTTGTTATTGCCTCGTTTGTTATGCTGGACTGTAATTGATTGTACTATAATAAACAATAGAACATCCAACGTAAGTCTGTCCGTAATGTGTGGTTCAAATTCACAGTTCTTCAACCTAAGTTTGGCAATAGAGCATTTTCTATTTTACCTTGTTGAGCTTTTCTAGGACTCTAGCAATTAGCAGAAGTCTTCAAATCAAAATTTAGGTTTCAAAAGCAACAATTAAAGTACGTCTTTGTTACAAGCGTAAGAATTACCTTAGCTGGTCAGTGTGATCAAGCTTCCGGCTTCCTTTGACAACAGATTCCTGGTCGGCAGTCTCATACAAGAGAGACTTGTCACGAGGCACTCGAACACGGAACTTCCTGAAGGATGCAACAAGCACCTGGCAAATGCGAGTGAGGGGACTCCCACCGGGAATCTGGGTTCTGTACAATCGAGTGCCCGAAAAGAAGCTCACAACAGCAAGTGCCATAGCCACGGATGGGATGCCAAAGCCCCAGCTCCATCCAACGTTTGTTTGTATCCAAACAAGCACAGAGGAAGCCACAAGGGCACCAATGTTGATTGAGAAATAGAACCAATTGAAGAAGGAGCTCTTGTTCTTTTTTTCGGCATCATCAGAGTCATCAAATTGGTCTGCTCCAAATGATGAGACACAAGGCTTTATGCCTCCAGTTCCAAGTGCTATGAGGTACAGTCCTGTGAAGAACACCCCTGTTTGTAACCCTGTGGGATGGCACACATTGTTGTTGTCACAGGGTGGTTTTAGTCCTTGGATTGACGCTGATAAGGTCAATAAAGTCATTCCCTGCGACAAATCATGGCTTTTCATTTCCTATAAGTTCAACAAGAATTACAATATATTGCATGCAATGTTCATTTGTCAGACTTTTGTTGTCATTCAAATGCTTAGTCAAATTAACTTTAGGCTGATATCTTATGTTGTCAGGTTAACTAACAATAAAACTTTTTCTTTGGTTTGAGAAAGAAATTAACTTACAAAAACATAGATGATGGAGAAGGCAGCAATTGTCCAATATCTTCCCATGTATGCATCAGCTAGGAAGGCTCCAAGCAATGGTGTGACATAGCATGTACCTGACCAATTTGTGACATTATTGACAGCAACCACATTCCTCTGGTTCAGTTGAAACTTGAGGTAATTAACAAGATTTGTGTTAATCCCATAGTAAGCCAGTCTTTCGCAGCATTCATTTCCTGTCAATCAAAAGCCAAGAATTGCAATTAATTCAACATATTTTGTTGACCACTTGATCATATTTTTCTGTACAATTATGATTATTCCACATTTCATCTAACTTTCGTCTTAAAGGTCACACTTCAGTAAAGTAAAAGCAACAAAAGCATTTAATGGACGAAATGTGGATAAACATGACGATAGGGAAAAATTCACCAAAATATAAGTTTTAATAGAAAATCGGTAGTAGGGCGCAAGTTCGAGAGAGGAAACCAGCAAAACACCCCTAGATTTTAGTTACCAAGAATATAAGGGCAAGCTTTCCATGTTCCCGTGTTGTTCTTGATGGCAGGCCTGTTCTGGTAATCAGTTGTTCCATCTTTGGTGTGGATGTCTTCTTCTTCCATTAGTAATGTTGCTATCTCACTCATGAATCTTTTCTCTCGATCCCTTGAGCTCACAGTAGTTTTATGCTTCAATAAGTAGAGATCTATCACTCGTGCATAAATGACAAATGGCACGCGATTCGAAAGAACTCTTCAATGCATCGTTGATTCAATGTTGCACATAAATATAGTGCAGGACTTGTGTCGTTTTCAGCTGTGGCAGCGAGGTGGAGGTGACAAGGGATTAGGATTCTCTCTTCTCTTTTTTTTCCTTCTCTTCCATCTCCTACTAATTAAACGATCACAGTTAACTTATGTTAATATCTTATATTAATTTTTTATAGCAAGAGAAAGATAAAATAAAAAAATATGAGAGGAGGGGATGTAAGAGAATGGAAAGAGGAGGGGAGAGAATCCTAGTCCTATTAACTTTGACATCTTATATGATCAGTCAGCAGCAAAGAGTACGATTCTCTTCCGTCTTAAATTTATTTTCTCTCATTTTCTTTTTTCATAAATTATTTTTCATCTTCTTCTGACTATTAAAAATTAATACAAAATATTAACGTGATTTAACCGTAATCGTTTAAATAGGAAAAAAAAAAAAAAATAAGATTAGAAGGAGAGGTAATCCTATTTCTACAGCATGTCCTATTGATGATGCTACCTATATTTTAGCTCTACATCTTTGGTTGGCACCAAAAATAAAATAAAATAAAATAAAATCTACATGTTTAGATTTTGGACCAGGCTTCTCTGCCCTCTCAATACACTCTTATCTTCTTTTATTTTGTATGATTATAATTTAATTACATCAATATTTTAAATTGATTTTTTTTAAAAATAATAAGATAAAAAATTATAATAATGTAAATTATTAACGTAGCTTAATTATGATTGTATAAATAGAAGGAGATGATAATGTATGAAAAGTAATAGGGCAGACAAGTCAGGTCCTTAGATTTTGCTTTCTTGGCACACCTTCTTAGGCAAAGGCATGGAGTTGTTACTAACTTTTGCCATCGAATTGACAATTGAGGCCTCTCTGGCGGTTTAGTTTGGACACGTCAAGAAGCACATTTAGTTTGAAAGTACTTCTAGTTTTTTTATTGTTAAGTAATTTGGTGCTCATAAAAGCAACACCGTCCCTTAAAAAAATATGCCAGCATCCAACTTTTTTAATCTATTTAGTAAATAATGATAGATTTTAATGAACAATAATTGATTAAATACATCTTTATTCCTAACAAAAAATAGCCTAGTTAATTTTATTAAAATATTATTATTTTTATTATAAAATAATAAAAAAATAATTTTATTTTTAATTTATGACTTTATAAAAAAATAAGATAATATTATTCTTATTAAAATATTTTTATTTTCTCATCTTCCACACCTCTTCTTTGTCCCCACCGTCGTCCACCCTTGCACTTCCCTTCCATTCCCACCGTCACCTCCAAACCTCCTCCTCCCATCCTCCGACGCCGTCGCCCTCCTGTCCTTCAAATCCCAAGCCGACCTCAACAACAAGCTCCTCTACACTCTCAACGAGCTTTGGCTACTGCATCTCCACTCCTCCTGTCCTTCAAATATTTTTAATTTCTGCATCTCCACACCTCTTCATCATCCGCTTCATCCTCCTGTCCTTCTCCCTCTGTGGCTCCTTCCTTCTCGACACCCTCTCCCGCCTTGACCAGCTCTGCTCCTCAGCCTTCACAACAACTACCTCTCTGGCGCCAAAAAAAAAAAAAAAAAAAAAGAAAAGAGAAAAGAAGAAAAGAAATGTAGGCCGTCCCATGGGTTTGTCAATTTTGGGCTGGTCTCTTGCATGGCTTGGACTAGGTGCCAATCTATTAGGTAGGGCTGGAGGGTTTTAACTGGGTGCCGGGCTATCAAGCCCCTGTGGAACTGCTCTAAGAGCTACTATAGGAGGCGATGCTTCAAAAATTTTAAAATAAAAATCAAGTGTTTTCTGAAAGAAAAAAAAAATTGAAGAGCAGTGTGCTCTCTAATTTATAAGCACTTTAGTTTTTTTCTTCCAAACATTATTAGAAGTGTTTTTGGTTAAATTTGGATCCCAATCTAGTGATGTCTAAGTTGACCCATCAAAGAAAGCCTACGAGTTTTTGTGGGTGCATTGATTTGAGAGTTTGAAGAATTTTGAAAGAGTTTAAAAGTATTAAGAGTATTCTTACGCTATAACAATTTAGATGTATTTTTCTTCATTTGTAAGTGAAACGTTTTAAGTTTGAATCTGGTGAATGATAAGTTTGAAACCAATTTATTTTCCTACCTCCATAATAAAAATATATCATTGTACATAAAAAAAATCTTAGAGTATCCAATCAAATTTTTTTTAAAGACTTCAGTTAGGGGTAGTCTTGAATTTTTTTGGACTCTTTCAAAAAGTCATTAGCTTGAAATGATTATAAAAAAACACTGAATTATGGTAGATTTGATAGATTTTACCATGTATATAGAACATACAAATGTAGCATCTCTTCCAAAGATTTTGATAGACTTTTTTTTTCCTCTTATGAGTGTATAATCAGCCACCATCCTCCTAACCACAATGGCTTCACCGCAAACTACTTCTGCGACGTTTGTGGCACCTCCACCAACTTGTCATGACCATCACCACTTCCACTCCCACCCCCACCACCATGACGCTACCACCATCACCAAACCAATTCCCCACCACCATCAACACTTGACTCCATTACCATCGCCACCTCAATTCCTAGCATACTGTCACAACCATGTTTTCATGGCCATCACCACAACTTTCACCATCGCCGCCACCACCACAGCTACTATCACCACTAACATCACAGATGATGGCCAACCACTATTTCGAGCTGTGAAAATTGAAACTAGTGGAAATGCTCATTAAATAGACCACTAAATAGTCCATTGTAATTCATGAAATTTTATTCATTAAAATTCATGATAAAATTCTCACAAACTCTACTAAAACTCATGCAGAATTCTCTCAAAGTCCATTTGAAGTCTCACATGCTTCATCAAAATTCATGAACTTACACGCTCAAAATTTTTAAAAATTTCAATTCAATACGCCTTTCGATGCTCCATGAAGCTCGGATGGGTGTCGGCTACAAGCTCTTTGGTAAAACTTCAGACTGGGCACTTTTTTGGGCTAATAGAATGACTTGCACATACATGACCCAACCCAACATTCTTTATAACTTTGACTAGCCGATGATATTCCTGAGTTAACATTTGGTCAGCCCTTTTTGGGATGAAAAGTTCCCAGCATATGTTTTCAGCTGGCCTAACATTGAATTAGGCTCATGGATCATACCCAACTGCAATGCTGTCAATGTTTAAAAATCCATTGTTCAAATTCATCTTATAGCATTTTGTTTCGATAAGTTTGTTCTCTTCGTCAAAGATTCATGATCACTAATCTATGAAGTTGATATATATATTTTTTTATTCAAATGAATTCGATGTTAATAATTTTGATTAAAACATTAAAAGTACATTATGGTAGCAAAAATTTGCCGTCTTCAGTCTTGGACGAATTTGTACCTACAAAATAAATAAACACTCTTTGGTCAAGGCCTAAGCCTCATGAGGCCATGAGATATTGAGAGGGGGGGGGGGTTAGTTTGATCAATGGAACTCTGATGCCTAAATCAGTTTCTCTGAAGAAAAAAAAAAAGTTGAGTGTTCAGAGAAGTTCATAACAAAATCTTACCAGAACTTGGTGGAGATGGGGCATTTATAGAAAGGTGGTCAGGCATAGTGTTAGGGTTTTGGCCCTACGCAAGGCGGCTTTCCATTGGCCAATGTGGGTTATCCGTAGGATGGATGAGGAAAAAATATATCCCAAATATATTAATTATGAGATACTATATTAGGATGATGATTGTGATGACAACTCCTTACTTGTTTGAGTTGATCTTCAATTATGAATGTATTAAATATATGATTTAGTAATTAATTCAATCTTTATTGCCCTTGATTTTTCCTCCTTGCCATGAGCATGAGAGATTTGTGGGCCTTGCCCATTTAATGAAGGCATTCTTATCTTTTTGTGTAAAAGGTCATGTGTCGTCTTTTGGATTTTTGAATTATTTTTGGCTCTACACACATCTAGGGGTGGTATTGGTACAATAACCGTATCAAAACCCATGTACCAATTACCATACAAATTTTTTGGTATGACAAAATTTATTATCATTACCGTGACAAATTTTTTATATATCGAATTTCGGCATGCTAAATAGCTTGGTTGACAAGATATAGAAATGATAATTATTACTTTTTTTTTTGGGGCCACTCTTTTGGGCCACAATTTTGTTTTTTTTTTTCCAACCCAATTCAAGGTACGGGTTACTAAATTTTTTTATTTAATTATGAGAATTTTATAGAGACTCGTTTAAGAAGAAAAAAAAAGGTAAATACATGGAAGAATTGCTAAAACCCAACATCCCTAAAATAAAAAAAGAGTACAAAGATCCTAAATTCCATCTCTACATTCTTTAAGATTGAACAAAAATTAACTTGATAAACGAAGCCAGGTAGAAAGACAACCCAATTTGATGAAGGAGAAGATGAGATGGACTGCGGAGAGAGAGAGTCTCGTCGGAACAGGAGCAACCGAGATGAAGTCGATGACAAGATGAGTGAAAAGATGAAGTCGCAACAGCAAGAAGACCTAGTTTTTTTTAGGGAACTTTAATGAAAAGCTTCCGGTATTGTTCACCTTAACAAAAAACCATATTTTTACACTAAAAAGTCAATCATGGTACTATTTACTTTACCCTTTATTTTGTCCTTGTCGTTAAAACTCAAAGTTTTCAAGCTCTTTCCATCAGTTTTTTATTTTTTATTTATTGGGAAAGTGGAGGTTAGAGGGTGAGAGGATGGTTTTGGATAAATGACTAGGAGAAAAATATAAAGTGCATATATAATGATAATAATACCTAATTATATATATATATAAAAATAAATAAATGATATAATATTGATAGTAGTGATACGGTACGGTATACCATTGGTAATGGTTTGGATACCATTACTGTACCGAAAATGTATGATACGATACAAATATTGTACCATTACCAATGGTACAAATTTTTTGGCACAACTAGTATGAGATAATT